TGTCCCAACCCTCTAAATTACTTCCTGGCTGCAAATCTAAGTAATTTTACAGAACAATTTTGGTCACCGTTCAAATAAAGCAAAAGTAGAAACCGAAATAGCACCACAGTTAATTATATCATTAACTGCACATGTATAGCCAGAACAGCACCACAGTTAATTATATCATTAACTGCACATGTATAGCCAGAACAGTGTTTCTCAACCTTGGCCACTTGAAGATGTCTGGACTTCAACTCCCAGAATTCCCCAGCCAGCATTCGCTGGCTGGGGAATTCTGGGAGTTGAAGTCCAGACATCTTCAAGTAGCCAAGGTTGAGAAACACCGCACCAGAATGAACGTAGAATTATATGTATTCCTCTAACATGCCCTACAATCAACCTGCTTTTAACTGGCTGGATCATTTCCCACTGCATTTTATTTATTGCTCTTTCAGCTGTTCGGGCTCCATGCTTGTCCTGCAAATCTATTCTGGTCACAAAAACCAGGCTCCCACGTATCGTTAGCCCTTCGTATCATTTGGGTTACTTGATCAATGCTAGATTCAAGTGGTACCGGTTGGGTCAGTATGCATGCATGTGTGTGCGTGTGCGGGAACCATTTGACGCACCCTTTATTTTGTCCCATCTATCAACACCTACAGAAAAATGCGCTGGCTTGCAAAACCAGACATATTTCAAGAGGCCAGCTGCTATTCATTTTCACTCACTCTCCAAAATCAAAATGGTCCAAAACCTTTGCACACACACACACACACACAAAAAAAAAAACATCCCCAACCAGCTGCCCAGTGTTTTTAAAGGCTTTGAATGCAGAAGTTCTATTTCAAATGAATTTGAGGATTCATTGACAACCAGCCAAAGTCCACAGCATCTTATGTGGAAATGAAAGATTTGAGTGTCTAGGGAGATTCTCAGTCATCCAGGTCATGGATTTCCCAAAGGTGCTTTTTCAAAAGGCAACTGGACTTTTTTTTTTTTCCCCCTTGAAGACGTTCTGCTTCTCATCTAAGAAGCTTCTTCAGTTCAGTCTCAAGGAGCTCTTTGGCTGAGAAGGGAAACATTTTCGGGGAAAAACAAAGAAAACCCAATTGCCTTTTGAAAAAGCAACTTTTGAGACACGCTAGATTGGAGCAGGATGAGGATTTAGGATGTAGGCCTAAACGAAGCGTCTTATTTGTAGGCTAACCATGATATCTTCTCCATATTGCTGTGTAATCTACACAACTATTAGCTCATGACACTAAACTCTTCTTGACCATTTTCTACTCCAATTAAAACAGGTTTCTCCTTTTTGTGAAAAGCAGGACTTCTAACAAAACGTCACAGCTTTGAGACAGCTCTAATATCCTCAAGACCAACGTTTCCCAACTTTAGCTGTTTTTAAGATGTTGTAGACTTTAATTAAAAGGGACGCGGTGGCTCAGTGGCTCTTGAGCTTTTCGATCAAAAAGTTTGGCAGTTTGAATCCCTAGCACCACGTAACGGAGGGAGCTCCCGTTACTTGTCCCAGCTTCTGCCAACCTAGCAGTTTGAAAGCACGTAAAAATGCAAGTAGAAAAATAGGGACCCCTGCCACATAACCCTGGAGATGTCTTCGGACAGCGCTGGTTCTTCGGCTTTGAAACAGAGATGAGCACCACCCCCTAGAGTCGGGAACAACTAGCACATATGGGCGAGGGGAACCTTTACCTTTAGACTTTAATTCCAAGCTGGTGGAACATTCAGTCCATTTTGCTGGAGTTTTCCTTGGAAAAAAATTCCAGAATTCAGGTTTTTGCTGTGCCAGCTGCATTATTTCAGGCTGTTTTAAAGCAGTCCTTATTTTGGAGGTGGACAGCTTCCTTATTGAGTGCCGTAGTCTTAAATTTCCTTTTTTCTCCACGTTAGAGAAGAGACATCTTAAATACAACAGGAGCTTATCTCTCAGACATATCATTCCCGATACTCTCTTCCCTCCTGCCTTTTCTGATATCATTCTTAAATCCTACTTCTTTATTGGTGTCTGTTTACAGCAGATCTTCCTGCTCCAACAGTGGCCTGATCGGCAACAGATTTCCACCTCCCTTTAATCCTGCAGTGCAAATCTTGTGGGAATTTATATCCTCCCACTGTCACAGCTAAGGAATGCAACCTTTTGTCTTTCCCCTAGCCAGTCTGATGACATCTGAGAAAATCTGAAAATACTTCTTGGGCTGTGCTGGAACAGGAAACTCAGCAACTTATCTTTCCACAACATTTTACTTGTGAAAGGAAGTGACTTGGGAAACATGTTGAAGGGGAACGCTGGGAGGTTAGGCCCTATTCCCCCACTCCCAACTGCACAGTAACGTTTCCTTGGCAGTATAGGTCGTCCTCAATTTACAACCACAATTGAGGCCCAAAGTTTCTGCTCCTGAGATATCTGTTAAATGAATTTGGTTTTACGACCTTTCTTGCCGCCGTTGTTAAGTGAATCCCTGCAATTGTTAAGTTAGTTGTTAATGGCTGTTAAGTGAATCTGGCTTCCCCGTTGTCATAAACATGAGTCCGTTGCCAAGCATCTAAATTTTGATCACAGGACCAAGGGGGTGCTGCAGTGGTTATGTGATTTCACACCAACTGAAATAATTGCCCCAAAACAGCCGTTATGATAGAATGGGCGAGAAAAAGACATGGAGTATTGATATCAAGGTGGAGAAAAAGCTATGGAGTATTGATATACTTGGGGCATGAAGACGATGAGCTTGTTGGCTGCAAAGCTGACAACCTAGGTTCGAGACCCAAGTGCCACGCAACGGGATGAGCTCCCGTTCCTTGCTCCAGCTCTTGCCCAGTTTGAAAGCATGCAAACGCGAGTAGATAAATAGGTACCACCTCAGTGGGAAAATAACTGTTCTGTGCACCTCAGCCAGCGACGACCACAGAAATGTCTTTGGATAATACTGGTTTTCTTGGCTAAGAAGAAGAGATGAGTACCGCTCTCTAGAATCAAATATGACAGGAGAGGCAGGCCTTTGCTTTTGCCTTTATATACTAGACTAGAATATTCTTTATTGGCCAGGTGTGATTGGACACACAAGGAATTTATCTTTGGTGCATAAACTCACCACAAAAATACCAGTAAGAGAAGGTAACAGGAAAGATGAGACGTATAATAGTAATACAGGCCTACTACATGGGTAAGTATCCATGTAGGTCTCTAGAGATTTTCTGTTCACTAGATTTCTTTATGTGAAAAATAATTGTGTGGGAAGGGGCCCTTTACTCAGAAAGTTTGGAAAGGCTTTGTTTCAGATCTCTAATGGTTGTAGTAACCTACTAGCTGAACCTATAGCAACTTCTTTTTACCAAGGATTATAAGTTTGAAGGTAGATGATGCAACAAAGGTAAGCAAGTTTTTATTTTTATTTTTATGGCAATCTCTGGGAATTCAGAGAGTACATTGAGAAGTACAGATATATGTATATCATGTGAAAGGGCAGAATAATAATCTATACACTTCGTCAAGACTAGCAGAAGAGTTCAATAGTTCTATTAAGTACCGTTGCTATAGCCGGCACAGTTGGCTGTATTGTGTGACTCGAGGTGGGTTCCTAAGTGTCATCTGCAAAAAAAAAACCCAAACCCTCAGCTACATTTTTGGGCACATGTCCAACTGCCCTTTCACTGATGCTCCAAGAGAATTGCTGACTCAAAGAACAACTTAAATAAGCTTCCGAAATCATCCCGGCCCTGCAGTAACTTTTTTAAGAGTGACAATTTTCCTCATCCTTGGAGAGCATTCGGCGGGCATCTAAAAATGTGTAGGACAGCTTTGTTCTGCTTTGTGCAGTTTTGTCAAAAAAACCCGGGAAATACTCAAAATCAAAATGATACAAAGATCGTTCGAGAACGCCTCACTCATGCATGCCTTGCATCTTTAAGCAATAGGTTTAATTGTGGGCCTAGGTAACTTTAAACGCAGCTGTCACCTTTGAAGTCAAAACTGTTTAGAGCTGCTGTCAAATGTCATGAAGTCGATATCTACCTGTGCAACTTGTTTATTATGTACCTGGAGCACATGCCATCCCGCGCAGCCAAGGTACAACATGCACTGCAAACAAAATCTTTCCACAACTATATTACATCCAGGTGTATCCAGAATGTTCCTAATGAAGTAGAGGCTTTACATGCCTTGCCAATCCCTATATCCAGTAGCCTAAATCTCGTACTGGTAGTTTTTGACTTATAACTGGCTGCTTAACGATCATCCAAAGTTAAGATGGACTTGAAAAAAGTTACTTAATGATCTGTCTTCTAAGTTACAATTGCTGCACCCTTTCTCCCATGGGCTGTGATTGTATTTTGGGTGCTTGGCAACTGGCTCACATTTACAACCAGTTGCAACATCTCAGGATCATGCGATTGTTTTTTTCTATTTTCTGGCTAAAAAAATGTCCATTGGACGAGCTGGACTTACAACCATCTGATTTGCTTAATGGCCACGGTTGCTCTTTTAGGAACCATTATAAAAAAGATTGTGAAATTTGAGACCAGTCCCACAGCGATCCGAGTTACACAATTCCAGACTCAGTTGTGGTTGTAAGTTGAGGGTTACTGTGAACAGCACTTTTCGCATTCACTCCCCTCTTTGTTGCCTCAAATCTTGTTTGCTGTTAAAAGAGTCATTCATGATGATTACATCGGTCGTCTTTTTTTTTTCCATCTTGGGTAACTTTAAAAACAAGGTATTAAGTGCAGTATGTGCTAACATGCCTGGCTTCTAGGAACAAATACATAAGAGATCACGCCTCACATTTCCCCTGGATGTTCCCATCTATAAATGGCCCAAAGGAAGTTAGGCAGATAAGCATTCACAGGATAGCCTGCTGGAAGATGATCTTTGGCACAAAAGGATCCCGCTGCAGGATCCTAGCTTTAAAGGTGAAACTGCAAGGAATACTTCCGTTTTAGTTTGCTTTCACTCCAATATTGCCAAAACAAAAAAATAAAACAGACCAGCCAACATCACTTTAAGGTATTTCAGTTTGCCAGAAATTCTTTTAATGACAGAATTTTTAAAAAAGACCAAAACAGCTTATTTCAACTGTCTCCTTTAAACAAATGGCCTATATTTATAGTTACAAATACTGTCAACTATGCTTCCTTGTATTGCACAACTAATTAATACAAGAATGACCTTAAAATGTTTCAAGATCTCCAAATTCTTTTGAAAATGGGCTCGAACTTCCCACTAACTTAAAATAAATTAAAACATTGTGAAACAACTTATTCAAAATCAAGTCTGAAATCAAAATGCAAAGACATCTACAATCTAAAAGATGACTATTTTGGAATTTGTCTAATGGTGTCTCTATTCTTCAGGTTGTATGCACCATTCTTTGCGGCAAAACCCAAAAACATTACCAATATATGGAAGTCCATCTTTAGCAATTTTGCTGTGTATCAGAAGATGACACCCGTAAGCTATTTCAAAAAGCCCCCCTTCCAAAAAGCAAAAAGGAAACAGAAAAAAAAACTGAATCACAGGAAAGAAAAATCATTTATTTAATGAAAAACTAGAAGTTAATAAAAATTAGCAAATACACAGAAAATTTATACAAGAACAGCAGCAATACTATGTAGTGACTTGGGAAGAAACAAAAAAGCAAGGGAGAAAAGGAAGGAACAGGGGAGAAACAGCGGTCAAACCCCAAACCGCTGTGCATGGCTTGTCAGTCAAAAAGAAACACAAATGAAAACACAAAACAGTATCCTTTTTCAAAAGTACAATTAATCTACAAAGAAGTTTAGAATTATTTTACAGCACTTTTCATAGAATCAATTCTTAATACAAAAGGATGCCCATTTTGGGTATATATATATAATATAATTTATATATATATATATATATATACACACACACATATTTTCAGTGGTTTACTGCTGACTCATTTAAATATATTAGTGTTATTACATGCAACTGTTATCTGCACCAGAACAGTCTTCCCATTAATTTACCTTCATTGAGGCTGGCCTTTCCCTCCCAATTGTTCACACCTAGCAGTCAGATGTTTACCACGGTTTCTGTGAAACTGAATGCAGTGGATTTGGATTGAGGTGATGATTATTATTATTATTTTAGACACTGGCCCTGAAAATGTCAGCTTGGGGTTTCAGCACATTGAAATTGTCACATTAATACCTAAGTTGCCGTTCTCTGCAAACAGCTGTGCAATGCTGGTGTCAAAGACTAAGCAGTCACTATTCATGATGGCGGTTGCGATCCCCTCATGGATCGATCGTGGGGTTGCTTCCCAAGTCAATCGCCGCCTGTGGCCGTTTAGCTCGAGGCGGTAAGCAAAATTTTCAGCTTGTTTCCGCGTGCCTATCAACTGTACGATTGCAAAGAACTGCTGGTGACCGTCGTATTTTTCCTGTTTCTCCAGTACTAACATGAAGTGAAAGCCAAAGCAAGACTGCATCATAACCCAGTCGACAGCTCCGGGAAGATTAATGTCTGTAGCAAGGAAAACAATATCTTCTCCCTGTAGTGTTGTTATCGATTTATGTTGGTGCATGAGGTGTGGCATGACAGCATCCAAAGAGCCTTGCCACTTACAAGAGGCCCCAGGGCACGGGCAAGAGTAAGGCCTGAATTCGCAAAGCTCTTCGTGGTCGGCTTTCTCGGTATGCGGCAAGGTTATCTCGCAGCCAGAGGAGGCATATTTACAGGGAAACAGTACAGAGTTGGCAACTTTTTCCATAGCCAAATTCCGAATGGAACCCAACGGTCCTCGGCAGGTCGGACAACAGGTGAGCTTGGGGCGACAATTGCTACAAACGAGGTGCCCGCTTTGGCACTGGAGGATAGGTGGCAGCACATAGTCAAAACAGACGGGGCACTCAAAGAGGCTGGCCAAGTCATTGTTGGAAGCGGTGGTGCCCGTCAAGGCAGGTACCCTTTGCGACGGTGTACACTTGGAGGTACCTGTCGGAAGTGCTGTGGCAGTCTGACGACTCATCTCTGCAAGAAACAAACAAAACAAAAACCAAAGTGAGTTCTTTTTAACGAGCAACAATCATCTCAAACTTTTTTTATGGGGAAAAGATCAAATTCAACAATGGGCTAATCCATAGAGCCTTCAGTGCAACCATTTCTCACAGTGGCTTTCAGATGGTGATAAAGAGAACAATAAAGGTTATATATACCTGTCTGAACAACTGATGTTTAGATGTGCACGGCCTCTAAAATGTTCCATAGTTGCTAGCTGTTACAATAGTTACCTCCCACAGTGAGGTCTCAAATCTGCTCTAAAGGTGCTCTAAAAGACAGTAAGAGGTTTTGATAACAGCAACAGGTTTTACCTGAAGTGGAATCACCATAGGAACATTTTCATTTGTTTTCCTCCAGCATTGCTATTAAATAAACAATATTTAAAAAGAGTGCTCATTTAAATACCAACCCTAGTAAGCAGATTTGGAACACTTTTAATCTCTTTCTTTTTTTAAAGCAAACCTGCATTTCAGCCGAAGTATCTATGAAGTTTACAAACTGGTGAATTAAAAGTATAAATAAGTAACTCAAAAAATATGTTGTATGGCAAAATGTTGGCTATGATTTGCTTGATTAAACAGGATCTAACTATTCCCGGAACTGGAAATATCAAGAAAACTTCCAGAGGTTCCAAATTTGTGATTGAAATCACACCCTAGATAGATAGAACCGCAACAATATAACCAAAACTCTTTTGCCAAAACAGTAAACAAAATCTAGCAAGTGTTTGTAATCAAATTTCGCTTGTTTTCTGGCATCTTTTTTAAAATCCCAAACACAGAAATTCTCTACAGACAGGAACTGCCCATTGCTGACAAAGTAATCAAGCTCAGTCAGGATTTTCCAATATCTCCAAATTAGCTGCTAGTTAAAAATAAAAAGAAGTTTCCTGAGTAGCTACGTGCTGTTGAAAAAACCTACTTCCGGATACACACAGAGCGCTTCCTTCCTCAAGACACCCTGGGTGATAATTAGCCATTCTGCCAGGCCTCTTGCAATGCAAAAACTGCCATCATCTCAGTGACAAAACACCTAGGAGGTAAGCAATGGCGTTATGCCCGGGAGGAACTGCAGCACCCTGAGCCAACATTTCAGCATATTATGCTTTGTAGGGATTTAAACAAAAGATGGAAAAGCAGCCTCATCCTAAACACATGGGACCAAAATATCAATATTTTGAAGGTGCCACATTCCAACCACTCGACAGTTTACGTTTTGTTTTTCATAGTAATCGGAACATTTTCATCAAATATTTTCCCTGGCCATCTGGCGACATGTTTTTCAGGGCTGAAATGCTATTAAAATACCTATATCTAAATATAGCTAACCTCAGTGGGCTGGTAACAGTCTCACTGTGCATGCCAAGAAGCATCTGCAAACCCCCAAAAAGTACTATATGGTGAAACCAGTTAATGGGGTAGGATTCAGCAGTTAAAGTACTCAAATTAAAACAATGCCCCAATTTATTTGGCAGCAAAAAAAAAAAAAAAAAAAAGGCTAAAGCAAAGTACTGTCATATTTCAGCTGCTGTAATTAAAAAAGCAAGAGCAGCATGTAACATCTTGGGATAGCATTTCTCCTTTTTGCTAAAAGAGAGGAAATGCCTCTTCTGCCTATAAACGCTAAATAAATTTCCTCCAGAATTGTTTATGACCAAAGAAGACATTCCTTAAATCAAACGTATTATAGTGAGGGAATGGTCAAACATGTATTTGGTTACCCTGTTGTATAAAGCACTCACACCCAAAAAGCTGGGCATTACACATATATAGCTACACTCAACCAGGCCACATATTTCATAATACACAATCCTGTAAACTGATTTAGAAATCACACTTCCACACCCTTTAATCAGAAGGCAAGTGCTTCCAACTACTTTTATCAAGTTTATCAAAGCTCAGCCCTAGTTATTTCATACGCTAAGAGATTAATCATTTGGGTTTTACACTTGCTGTACAACAATTCCCATACTACATTGATAGTATTATTCTACAGTTATAGAATCCATCAAGAATCTACGATCCTTGAAAAGTGAGGAAGGGACCTCATTCTCATACAAATGTTCTGTATCTGTATTGACAAGAACATGCTCTAGAGACGTTTTCTAACTAGATTCTTTGCCAATTGATAATTAGATCATTTGGATGGCCTCATGGAACAATATATATAAAATTGTATTTTGTATTAAACATATTTTACACACAGTTTTATTAAGCTTGCTTAAAAGAACTCAGTAGCTTTCCGTATTGCCACTCATTTGCCAGAAGAGAAAGCCCTCATGTGACAAAATCCTTAATCCATTTGGATGAAACTGATCATCATTGTAGTCATCTAGATGGACAGGACAAGTTTCTATGTATCCATTCAACTTCTTTCCGGCACATCTAGAACTTTCTCCACTTTCATCCTTGTAATATCTTATGAAGGACAGGTTGTTAAGTTTTCATGGAACTGAATCTAATCCTGAGTCATAGTCCAACACCCTAACCAGTATGTTGGCTCTTTCTTTCAATTTAAACTGAACTGGCTTTACTAAAAACATGTTTTGCAAACTTAAATATCTAGCTTGTTTGAAATATTTCATTTCTAGAACTGCAAAATCTGGGCACCTTATTAAAATACTAAATTCTTATTTGACCTATTTAAAAACTAATTTTCCAATTCTTTTAAGTATAATTGTGCCCATGTTAATTGCTAAGTACTGGCTCATACACTATTGTAGATCTCATGCTTTACGATAAAATGTTTTTAAAGCATTTGTGTCCAAAAATTCCAGGTATAAATTACTATCAAATAGTTATATGAAGTAATTCATGAAAAAGAATCTGAGATCCCAATTACCGTTCCTTACTCCCTTTATCTATAGGTCAGATTTAATATATCAATTAAAGTATTAGCACACACAAATTACCAAGTTATTAACAGCTGGAAATATTCCCTATTCCCCCCACCCCATCTTTAAATCTTCAAAAACAAACTGTATCAATATCGGATGGAAATATATGCAAAAGCCTGCTGTGCTGGGAGTAGAGAACTGAAACTAATCTTTATCCAACAAGAGAATTAGCCAGTGACTCACCACTTTTAAGTGTTTTGTATACTTTCTCAAAATACAAATGACAGGGTGTGGATGAATGTGGGATCCTGCCTCATTACCATGGAGCGTGTCAGATCATGCCCAACTGTAAAACATATCTCCAATGTTACACAATGCATGTAGATCTGTTTTCTGACCACATCAATACTTTACTTGCTCCCTTGACTAAAAAAAACCACTGTTTTTCAACAGTCAGCAATTATGTAAGAATACAGTCTACTTATGTAGATTCCAAAATTCTATCTTGCACAGTATTCTTAGGGTTCGTGCTCTAGCAGAAAGGGGATCCTGTTCTGTTTTGATATTAGAAAAAAAATCAAGTACTATTACAATTAAAATCAAGTACAATTAACAACTACGAGCCGACTCTTCTCCAATATTTTTTAACCACATAAAAGATGATGATTTTTAATTGGTACAATACTTGGAAAGACCTCAAGAATTCAAATACAAATTGCCAAATTATATGTCTTTGGGTATCAGGCCATGCCAAATTTCAAACTGATGCAATTACTTAATAATGTTTTGCAAACATATTACATAGTGATTCCTCTTTGTTTTACATTTTAGACATTTAGTGAATACTGAACTAAAAGAAAACCTTAGTGATTATTCCATTCCCATTTAAAGCAGGTGAAGATTTTATTTGTGATACAGTATGTGGTTCTGCTACTTGCAACAAGGACTAATTCAACTAAATTACCATCTGCTGAAAACTTACAGGTGTTTTTCACATTTCATTAAACAAACAAGACAAATGCCTGCAATATGCCAGGGCCACACAACGGACTTCTACAACTCTTGAATACGAGACTCCAAACAACGCCAGCTTAGAAAGGTGCTACCTTTTCTTTTGTTGCTTTTATTCCCTGGCAGACATGTATCAAGGATTCCTTTCCAAGCATACAAAAAACTGAAGGCGGATTTCCCCGTCATCAGGAGTAAAACAGCTCATTGCGTTTCTCCATAGAAACAAAAACAATCCACAACAGAGGCCCCTCCTGGAAATTCCTAGGCTTGCAGACAGCCAGTGCAAGCACAATACCCAGAAGGGGGCACAAATCCATGAAAGGCAGGCAGTTTCCCGAACATGACCAGGGCGTGGAAACCCAACATTTCTTTTTCAGTAAAGTTTCCGAAGTAATCCTGAGCTAAACCAATTGGGAAAAAGAAGGGTGGGGTTGGGGAAAGCAAAGGTGAGAGTCATAGAATTGCAAATCCAGCCAGTCCTCCAGTTAGATCCACTTTGATCAGAAAAGCTTCTTAGGATGGTTCCTGCATTGTCACTTTCCACCAACCCAGTCTTTTTGTAATCTTGGGTGATCTCCAGAGTCAGAGCTAGCGAAAATCCAAATGCCGCCGCTGCCGCAGCTCCTCCAGAATTCAGCCCAGTGCCTTCTGCAGCAAAGCCACTGGCTGCTAAAGGAACCCTGAGTCTGCTATTCCTCGGCTCCTCGTACACATCGGGGAGGGAGCCACGGAATAGAGGCGGTGCCTCAACTCGGACTAGGGAAGGAAGAGGCAGGCTGGCCGGCCAGCCAACGGGCGTATCAGCCTCACATGACCAGCTGGACTCTGCATGCAGTCAACTAATGCAGGCATCCATCAAAGCAGAGCCTGCTTAATGCAGGGAAAGGAAGGCTGGGGAAAAAGGAGCCCTGGGCCCTTCCCCAACCGCAGCCGGGCTAGGAGAGGAGCTCAAGGCAAAATGCAAACTACAGCCCTGCGCTCCTCCCTCCCCTCCGAGGACCAGACTGGCTCCAACAAGCAGCTGGTGAGTTTAATTAGTGGCCCTCCTGCAAAGATGGTTTAATGTGGAACAGAAAGAGAAGCAAGGCCAGCAGAGTTCTGCAGAAACCAATGAGGTTCTTTATCCAGCAGCCAGGCTATTATCTTCTCCTTCCCTATCTATACACAGTCTCGTACTTCCTAGAAAAGTCCAGCAGGGGGAAGATTTTATCTGGGATTTGGAAGCTAAGCATGATCAGACCTGATTAATACTTGGAAGGGAGACCACCAGGAAATCCCAGGGGAGCGAAAAGTCAACAAAACAATATTCTCAAAGAGACAGTGGTAAATCTGTTATAGCGCGAGGAAACTGCATAGCTCTCTCCGGATATCCTCAACTCACTAAACTATAATAAGAACATTATTCTGGAATAAACAATCTCTTTTATGATTAGTAAGACTACTAGTCCTCTCCATGTTACTCATAGGCTGACAGCTACGGAAGAGTGTCTGCCATACCTGGCAATGTCAAGAATGGAACACAAGGTATTTTACACAGGCTAAGGAGATTTCCCATGAAAACGGCCGTTTATACTGAAGTGTATTTAACACACACATGCAAGTCTGAAAGAAGTGAGCAATGATTTCTACTGGACCCGTGCAGATGAAGACAAACAAGGCAAATCTCAGTAAATCAACTTAAATTCCAGGATTCCCCAATATAAAGGAGCACAGAGAACAACACATTCTGCAGTTCAATGCAGGCAGACAAAAGGAGAGGCAGACAAAAGAAGATGCAAAAGGAGATCAGAGATCCTCTTAGAAAGCCCTGAGTAGCCCTCCAAGGATGTCCCCAAAAGTTTTTAAATGCTAACGTAACAAAGAAATTATTAAATATATTACAGAATTACAAGTAACCATATTTAATTTTACTTCGGTCTATGTGAGATCAAAACAAATCGGATTTCTCTCTCGGCCCTGTCAATAACTTTTAGTATGCAGCCTTCCCAAAAAAAAGTTTGTTCCTCTGATGCACTGAATGCCAGAAATAGCTCCAGATACAACACGACTTATCTGATGACGCATGGAGCAAACAGCTGCAAATTCCTAGGGTCCCTACAGCTTTAAACCTAAAGGTATAAGCATCTGTATTAATAGTGCGTATGGATTTAGGTAATTAAACAATTTTAAGTGGTTAAGTGATATAAACTAAACCTTTAAAAATAGCACCGTGGGACTAGGGGACGGGGTGATAGACTGAAAGTACATTTCTGTTTGGAAGGCCATTTCAGGTTGTGTAACAATTACTACTATGTGCTGGAGGGCTCCAAAAAAAAACCACCTAACAGGAAGGTCATTGTATGGAAATGGGATCCTAAAAACATCACTTCTTTCAAATCTGCATTCTTTTCTGTGTCAGGCCAGCTCCAAAACTGCATTCTCATTTCCTGCCTCTATCCCCTGTTTTGAGGAAGTCTTGTGTGATAATGAGACAACATTTTCAGGGCTTTTGAGGTTTCACCTGAAGAAATACCCCTCTCTAACGTGCCCTATAATAATACTCTGTTGTAATATTCCCTGGGGGTTTCACATATCAAAATGTGACAACTACTTGTCCTTCAGTGTGTGAATGGGACACTTTTAGAAAATATCCATGTTATTAAGTTAAATTAAAACCTGAAAAAGCATTGAAGAAAAAATAAGACAAGTCACTTTCTTGTTATCAAGAAAACCAACTTAAGTCACCAGAAATCTAGTTCAACTGAGCCATCACTTACAAAGATGAAGTCTGAAAAGTAATGTTTCAGAGTTTTCTGGAATCCTATCGCTCTACAAATATTGCATGCACTTTAGTATGTAAAGTGATACATACACATGTATAAATTAAACAATTAGCCATTCAATGAAGATAGAGATTGCACAATCCACATACATCTGTAACACAAGCCAAA